TGGATATGCTATTATATAGTAACACAAGTATATGGTGAAAGAAAAAAGAAAAGATTATATAATAGAGGAGATTAAATAAAAATATTTTAATAAATTATCTTAAAAATATAAATAATAGATAAAGAAGTAGTAAAAATTAATAAATGCTAATGCTTCTTTTTTGAAGAAGAGACTTCTACTTACTTTGTAGAAGCATATGTAAGCCAAATCAAAAATAATGAGATAATTACTTCATAAATACATATTTAAGAAAGAATTAAGAATAGGTTTTAGAAAAAATCACATCAAATTATAAAGAAATTATGCCCATAGAGGACTAGTTGCAAACCAAGGTCGAAATCAGACCCCAAGGCACATAACTCTACATCTATGGCAACTCTAAGGTTCTTTGGTTGATCAAACAAGGAGAATTGAGAGAAAACTAAAGAAAAGATTTTTAAAAGTTAATTTCATGTAATTTAAAGGTATATTGAGTTTTTGAGGGCTTTTCAAAGTGATAAATATATTTAGTAGATTTGGATTTTGAGAATAAAAAGAAATTCACAAATTTGAAGGTCATATGAGTGTTATAGCATATTTATAAGTAAAAATTTATGAGTATGTTACCATACTTCTTTTGAATGTGTGTAAAAAATTTCATATCAATCGAGTTATTAGATCAAAGGTTATGTGAGTATTTGTAGATTATAGTCTAAGATAATTGAAATTTAGGATTAGAAAAAGTATTTGTGATTTTATAACATTTGCTAGTTTAATTAAAGAAAAAATTAGTAAAAGCCATTTAGTCTTAGAAATCTACATATCAATCAAATGTTGAAATAATTGAATAATTCAACAAATACAAATTACTATTAGAAGATCAACATTCAAGTTGGAAAAATAGGGCAGCCAACATCTAAGCGATTTTGGGAGCTTTGCTTTCAATTGGTGAGTTTGATTCTTCTCAAATTTTGTATGCTTGTTAATTATATGTTGATTGAAATCTAAATGAATTTATAGTCAAGATCAATAGTTCAATTAATATTTATTAAAGTTTTAAAATAGCTATTTTAATTGATTAATATTTATTTAGTATTTTCTTAGAATTATTTAAGATTTGGTTAGAATTTCATTAGAATTTAATTAAGATTTAGTTAGGATTTTATTGGAATTTATTTAAGATTGTTAGAATTTTATTAAGATTTAATTAAAACTACATCAAGATTTAGTTAGGATTTATCAATAATTTATTTAATATTTATTTAATATTTCTATTTTATTATTTTGAAAAAATCATTATTATTTTTTAAACATTTTTACTTTTAGTATTTTTTAAAGATTATTATTTTTTCTTTGAGGATTTTATTTTTGTATTTTTTTAGGATTTCTTTATTATTTTGCTTTGAAATTAATTTATGACTTCTTTATGTTTCTTTTATGATTTCTTTTTTAAAAAAAATTAGATTGGTTAAAATTTGATTAAGGTTATTAAGGATTACTTAGAGTTTATTTAAGCTTCTATTAGACTTGGTAGAATCTTGTTGTTGCATTTTCTATTTATCTTGCACAATTAGGTACTTGGTGCATTCTCAAGCAAGAACTCATATTATACAACAATACTAATTATAATGTACATGTTGGAAAGTGGATCTTGAAAGGTTGAAAAACTTGGCTTTGCAAAATGTTGGACTTGAATCATGACAGGGCTCACACATACTTTCCAAGGAATTTTATAAGTACATTGATTTGCACATCAAGGTTAAGAAATTTATTGCATCACATAGAAAGATTCAATAGAAGGTGGATGCATGTATGCGTCAAAACCAGTGATCAAAACATGAGCTCCCCTCTTATGTAATATCCAAAATTTATTACTCCTTTTAAAAGGATTTGAGGTTGCTTTCAAGAAGTAGATACATTAATACAACATGTTGTATTGTATACAGCTTAGTTGGTAGATGGGTCATTTAAAATTATTATAGACTTATCATTACATAATCAAGTAAGTATGATTTTTAAGTTGCAAAGCTTTGAGGCGTTCTTTATAATTTTTATCAAGCATAAAACCTTAGTTTTACTTGTAGAATAGTATCCATGTTCTTAGTACATTTTGGAGTACCAAAATAGCATTGAAAGGTTCCTATGGTATGTGAGGTATTAGCATATTTCAACAAAGCTGAATTTGGCCATTGGACAACAAGTTTGCAGAAAATCATGTCATCCATGTTTTGAGGCTCAAGACAAAGCTGTAGTAATAGTCTGTTTTTTTTTCTTCCATCAACAAGGTGAACAAGCAAGGTAGTGCATTTTGCTGAAGCAAACCAAATCAATAAGGATTTCAAAGAGTAAGCACATGTCCAAGAGTAGTCATTAGTTCTTTTTCAGCAAACTATCACTTTTATATGAAATTTTTTTCCAGATCATATTTTTTATAAATTGAATAGATTTAATATTTGATAAACAATCCACATTAAATTAAAAAATTAATTGGATTAACAAGAATATTGGATGAAGTTAGATCAATTTAGATGAATTTTAAGATTGGATGAAATAATATGGATGGATGTTAGTTAAATTGATGAATTTTTATTTATGGATGAAAAGTCATTCTTAGATGAAAACTCACTTGCAAATGAAAATTTTTTAAGGATGCAATTTTAATCTTGGATGATTTTTACTATTAGAAAATATAATAAAATAATATAATATAATACAAAAAAATTCATTCCAAAGTGTGTGGATTTTGAAGTATTTTATATTGGTTGTATTATTGTTATGGATGTGTTAGTGATAAATTGAATTAGTTTTGATAATCTAAGGTCTTTTAGTAAGAATCAAAAGGATACTTCTATGTAATCAATTTATAAGTTAATTAATAGTAGTAAAGTAGAATAAATCATGTATTAGAGTAGATTCATTTAACTTGCAATTGGGAGATTATAAGAATTATCGAATACTAGTTAAACAATAATCAAGAAATATTAGAATTATTAAACAATTGAATTATTGTGAACTGGAAAAGACTTACAACTATTGGAGATTTATTTTAGTTCATCCTTTGAATTAGCCATAAGGTCAAGGGCTAAGAGACAATGCCAAAGAAATAATGAATCTATTAATGAATATCTACATGATAAATAAGAGTATAAAGTATATGCTATGAAATATCTTTGAGGTAGGTGAGATGCCAAAAAAATATTAGGTTGATAAAATACTTATATATCTTTGTAGTAGATGAAATGTCAAATCATATATTAGATATATCCTTTAATAAATGTAAAAGTAAAGGGACGAAAATTGTCCATTAGAACATCAACAACCACTTATAAGTAAAGAATGTTGGAAGTAAAAGTTATTTTTTTTTACACTTCTCTTTGTGTGTAACCTTATTGATGTTGAGTATTAAAATTTCTAATTTCTCTTTCGTCAAATTAAAGAATAATATTTTTAATTCAAATAGTGATAAACTTCCAAATATTGAAGCAAATTTTGTAATTATAAAATCATATGGACAAAAATAATCATATTATATTACAAAGTAAATAAACACATGAATCAAATTAGATAATGCACACTAAAATTTGAAAGAAAAAAAAAAGAAGAAAAAAAAAATCAATCTTTTTTAATATATTTTATTTTATATTATAAATGATATTTCTAACAAATATATCTATTGTATAAATGAAAATACAATATTAAATGGCATGAAAAATCAAACCTTATATATATATATATATATATATATATATATATGAATTAATGCTATAAAATTTTGTCATGTATTATATATATTTTTTAATTTAATAAATTTTAAATTCTTATTTCATATGCATTTTAAAGTGTATATATGTTTTTTCTTGTTGCACACATGAATGTAATTCTTTTAACTTTAAAAGAAAATATTCTACACTAATAAAAACATATATAGTATCCTTTTATACTTTTGTAAGTTAACCAAAATTCAGTATTTTTTAGCCCCTAATATAATGATCCAATCATTTTAAAGATATGTTTTTAGTGCATTTTTAAATTTTTGTGATCACACAACTTTAAGTATTGTATATTTAGATTCTATAATAAAAAAATAAAAATATGTGTTTACAAAGATTAAAATATTTTATAAACAAAAAAAATAAAATATGTGTAATTAAGAGAGATATCAAATTAAATAATTGTGCAGATGTACAAAAACTGTTCTCTTTATAAAATAAAATATGTTGAGGTTTTTGTTGTCTTTCCTTTGACATGCTTAGTTCTATTGCTTGAGTTTGTCAAGCCACATTCTAACAAGAAATGGTGTTGCAAATAAATATCTTTATAATACAGTTTGTCTTCACGAGTAGGTCTCAACCAAATATTTGACAAAGAAGTACTTCAAACGGATTTAAATATATTAACAACACTGCTTCCAGATTGTTTTCAACAAAGAATTGAAGCATAACTTTGTGGGTTTACATTCTCCGACATTTATTGATTTCAATCCTTCCTTCCAAGAATCGAAACTGTCCTCATGCAACTCTCCTTGAACTCATTGCATAATCCAGATGAAGCATGCTAGCAAAATATTTCCGAGTTGTTTGACGGTTCACAATAAACTCGCACCTGTTTGATGATTTGGTTGAAGTGGGTTTGCATAGTAACTTCAACTACAAGGACAGCCAGTTGAAATTTCATGACCTGGTTGATGGTTTCTGGGTTGTGCAAATTAGGGTTTCGGCAGTAGAATTGCGGAGTCACACTTGTGACACGCAGAGGGATTCCACCATCAGCAGATGTTTGCGAAGAAGCTCGGTGTTGTGTGAGCCATCGATAAGAAGAAGACAAGACCCATGGAATGAAGTCTCCGTCGTCATTGTGGATGGCCCCATTCCACCAGCGCAATGGATCTCTTGGATGTAAATGAGTGGAGGGAACAGTGCTTTAGTGATCTGGCTGCTCTTTTTCCGTCGTCGACGGGACGGGTGCCGGTGTCGTGAGTTCCGCTAATCGCAATTCGCCACTAGATCCCTTTCAGAGGCTGCATGGAAGCGGTTGGCTGCCTGGCTGGAGGATGGCCATCCCTCTGTTGCCCCTCACGTTATCAACCTGCTTACGTGCAGCAGGCTGTTGATGTGTACTGCCATCTTGGCCAGTTCCGAAGTTTTTCTGTGTTCCTGGGCTCAGGATTGATTCCCAACGATTCCGCTATTAAGAATTTTGCGAGACCCCATGTCCTTTGTAAGTGTGACCTCTGGTTGCGACCAGTTGCTCTAGAGATTTTTCTGTGCCACTCGAGTCTTATTGAATTCGACAAATTGGATTTTTCTTGTAGGTCGGAGCACGTACGTTATTGTTATGATAATGAACTGCGCACTACTTACTTGGTGTAAGCATATATGGTTGCTGTTCTGAGTATGTTTGTTTCCAGTACTTAGAATGACCTTGGAAAGTGACGTTTGAAAAGGGTCTATACAATTCTAGGTGTTGGTTGTAATTGGGTTTTAGTCAAGAGCCCTGCGCCTCATTTTCTGGACTCCTTGGAAACGCTACAGACTGCGTGTTTGAGAATACTGCTAGGGGTCTTCTTTCATTACTGTCTTTAGAGCCATTACATATTTAGGGTTTAGTGTTCGGAGATTACAGAATTGAGGTTGCTTTTCTACAGGAATTTGCGTTAATAATGATACAAAGCGCTTCAATTTCATCTCATTTGCCTTTTTCTTTTTAGGTGAAGTTGTAGTTTAGTTTAGTGCTCCAAAAAACATTCACGGGGTCCTGATAAATATATTCATTTGGCTGCAGAGCTCTTCCATATAGAGATTATTGTCGCATCACTTTCTGTGTTTGTAACATCAGCGATACAAATTGGGAGGTGTCGAAATTGAGGCGTGTGACCTTTGTGCCCATGATTTTAGGTTCAGCAGCTCCTTGGAATGCACAAGGGGTTATTTACAGGTGTATACTATGCTTATTGGGTACTGAATGACCTTAGTGTGTACAATTAGTGTTACCTTTTTGGTATGTTTATCAAAAGACAACAGGATTTTCTATCTTTTACGTGACCGCCATGAAAGTCAGGATAGCGTGGGTTAAGTTTTTAAGAGCTGACAAATCAAGCATCTGCATTAAGTGGATTTACTAGCCTTATCATGATCAGTTTGTGACTCGGGATGTTTCAGACCATGTATTCTTCTAGCACCCTTGCAAGTTGTCGCAGTTCTCTTTGTCGTGATTCGTTTTGTGATCTAAGAAGGTTAGGAAAAGAGTCTTTACCATGTTCTAGTTTGGCGCAGTCTGGGTCCGACTTAGATTTCTTGTCGAAATCTTCGATTTCAAAAGTACAACAGTGGCGTCCTCGATGCACGCAAAGCTTCAAGAATGGAGTTGATTACGTCGTGCAGGCGTCAATACGAGGGGACAGCCATCATTTGCCTGACAGAGGAGGTGTTAATTCTTGTAGTCAGTTAGGCGGTGGATGTTGCGTGAAAAATAAGAATGCTAAGAAGTCAAAGCGTGTTGTTATTTCTAGGGTTGGCAGTGTTGTGAGAAACTTGAAACAGGACGATGATATCAAGAGAGAAGGAAATTACAGCAATCTACTGTCATGCGAGGATGCACGCAGTGAGGAAGTGAATGGAGACTCTTTGGCTTATGATGGTCAATCCAGTGTATCTGCTGTAAATGCAGATTCTGATCCATCTTCTCATCCTTGTCTCAAAGATCGTGACATTAAGGAATATGCGGATACTCTAAATGCTAAAGATGAGAGCATTAAAGGTATTTATATTCAGGACATGCCAGTTGCTGGCCGTAGCGATAATAAAACCAGCTTGGATTCTTGTCTAGATTCCGAGGATCGGGGTTGGAGGGATGCTGTAGTACAAGGGATTGGGCATCTCAATGGCGCACTGCAATCACCGCCTGAAGTTGGGAAGGGTGATGAAGCTCCTTTGGAGGTTAGCTTGCAGCTTTCTCCTTGTGATGTACTTTTTTCATAATTTTAGTTTTTTTATGATATTATTCATGGTGAATTGTATAGTATTATATGATATAGTCCAGGTGAATCATATTATATTATTCTCATTTTTTGGTTGTCAAGCTTGGCACCGAAATATCTGGTTCGCTTTTCCAGACAGTTCTCGCCTCTTGATGGTAGCCTTTAAGTGTATCGCAATAACGAATTTTAAATTTCTAGAATTATCTTAAATTGGTGTATTTGAATACTAAGGTGGTCTCTGCTGTATAGTCTGACAGAACTACGAGACGGGAAATGGATAAGAAGGATGACTTTGTAGATGATGATGTTGTAAACATAACACGGATCCCCGTCCCAAGGCAGACCTACATTGCTGTATCCAAAGTGGAGCTAGTCTCTAGTCTCGTAACTTTGTTTCCCTCATCCAAAGATGTCTCGATGCTTCTCGAAATTTTTGCATGCTTGGAGTCCGTCATCCATGCGGAGCATAAGAGCGTACTTGAAGAGCTCCGCATGGACTATCGGCTTGCTCATTCAGACGTTGCCGACAAGAAGCCTTCGACGTCAGAACTAGATTCAAGTAACGTTGATAGGCAGGGAACACATTTCTTAGAGTGGGACCCCAAGGAATGGTGGAGAAGGATATCAGAGAAAGTCACGGGTTCACAGAAGAATATAAGTGAAGTCGATGGCGTACTTGGAGCAGTTGACAGCTCTAATGAGAACGGTCGGCCAACGTCAGAGAGCAGTGACAGCCTCGTACAAGAAGTTATCGAAACTCAGCGAGAGAAAGCAACAGTTAGATTTCAGCGCCACTTTATGCGGGTGCTTCGGAGTGCACAGTTTAAAGGCCTATCTGTGAACGATCTGAAACTTACTGCAGCTCTTAACTCGGACTATCTCCTCACTTTACCTATCGACGTTGATTGGAATTCCGCTTCATCTGCGGATGCTCTCCTTTTCCGCAGAGGTTATGCCACAGAGCGTCAACAGGGTTTTCTTTTTGGTGCGAAATTAGATTATATCCAGTCAGTTATTCTCTCCAATATCTTCAATGGCTTGACAGGTGTGTTATTTTTCCATCTTACCCATCTATGAACCATCAATGGATGTCTGTACGAATATCACTAATTTACAGCATGCTTACTCGTCTGAAGACTAGCATTTACAAACATCAAATTTTTCGTGAACTTATTTGCATTGAGCCGAGTCTCCTGCTTGTGTACCAACAAGCATAACGTTTATTATGGCTTTCTATTCTATCACATATATGGAATGCTAAAAATGAATAATTTTTGCCTAATTTTTATGCAGTCCCTGTTCAACCATTTCTGACGATTTTGAACTCTTATACCTTAGGTCCGTTATTTATAGCTGGCCGTTGGTGCATAGAGAAATGGGAATCGCTAGAAAAGGATGAAGAAGGACGGGCGTTAACAGAGCGTATCGAGCGATGGCTAGAAGAGCCACTCCAACGAGCAGCCAACTTCAAAGCAACCCGTAGTTCAAGTGACGATGAAAGCTCAGATTCAGATGTTGAGGAAGGGCTTGAAATATGGAAAGCTGCAAGACAAGCTGTTCCTCGCTACGAGGCAGTGCTCTCATCAGCTGGATCAAGGGGTCTCTTACTTCGGCGTATTCTTGTTCGGATGGGCATTCTACCCCCTGCCAGTCCAAGAATTCCAGATGCACTTTATCAGTTGGACCAATCTACACTGGAGCCATATATGAGGCCCAAGATGCTAGCAAGGGTTTCAATGCGGGACATATGGCGTCCAGCATCGAAAGAAGTATGTGGGAACAACCCTTGGAAACAAATTCGAGCTGCATTCTCAGTCTTTTTCTCCCGTTCCACACTGCAAGAACCGGCTTATCAAGAGTTGGTACTTCTTTACAATAAGTCGAAGAGCGAGCAAGAGGATGATGATGGGTGGCCTAGCCTGCAACTTCACACCTACAGAAAGATCCCAGTTCCGGATCTCAAGGTTGTATTTCCTAACAAGAAGCTCTCTTTCCGGTTGATTGACACTGTCAGGCTGGATTTGGCCTCGATTGCTGGACTCGTGGCATTTCTTGTGAGTCATAAGTTTGACGACCTTTTAAGCTCCCCGTCAGCCTTTATACTGGACCTGATTGCAAGTGTATCCTTGATCATATATGTCACTCGAGTTACTCTGGGATACAAGCAAACGGCAGACCGATATCAACTACTCGTAAACAAAGCACTGTACGAGAAGACATTAGCTAGCGGTTTTGGTGTTGTGCACTTTCTACTAGACGCCTCTGAGGACCAATTGTTCAAGGGTGCAATCCTTGTTTATACCCTGCTGCTTCTTGAGGGGAGATCGCAAAGTATGTCCAACCGGGAAATCGCCAAACTATGTGAACGATATTTGTACAATAACTTTAAGGAGCAAGTGGAAATGCCTATGCACGAAATCATGGGCATCCTCGTCCGCCTGGGTCTCGTTGAAGAAGACTCTACCGACTCTTGCACTTACGTCTCAGCGCTTCCAGATGGCAAGGCCGTTGCTGCGTTAAAACAGCAGTGGCTTTCCCTTATATCAAAGCAGTCAATTTGGAGTGTACGCTAACGAATCTGGTGCTCATCTCTTAGTCGGCTGTAATATCATCCCATCGGTAACCTTCTAATGTTACAGTGTAATAGACCATCACCAATGTGCCGCTTATTCTTTTGTCATATCATGTTTACATGTCTCACCCTTTTTTAGTTTAGTGACCATTGTAGATATTGAACTAGAAAGCTGTTCATGCCTGGAGACTAACGCTGAAAATTATGTTCACAATCTGTTTTTTACAGTTCCTGTTATTCTTGGCAATGCCGCTCTCCTGCATGTGGTGGTTTCTGCAGATTTTATGCACCCGGATGGCGCTAGCTGGTGAGATAAAAGATATTTCTGTTGAATGCAACACCTTTGATGGAGTCCTTCCGTTTCAGTCCTCAACCAACCCTTTGGTTTACTTGAACGTTTTCTTTAGTGCTAGGATCTTTCACTTAATTTTAAACCCCTTACGAGATGCTCACATTTGTGCATAGACCCTAACTTTCCAATGACGTAGAAATCTTTTTAGAAGGAAGTGCATTGATGGCCTCTTGATGTACAAGAGCTTTCCTTTTGATGTCACAAACAAAGATGACGTTGGTAAGTGGTTGAAGAAGATGAAGTTGAGTCTGATTGCATGCATGTAAACAAAGAAAATGTCTTCATGAAAATTGTTTCTCAACACTCAATCTGAAAGTAATGAAGAACCATTTTAAAACCCTCGCTAAATTACAAAGCAGAATGATTACATGTCAAAATAGAGAACAATCGTTTAATTTTGGTTTAATTTAATTTAGCTCATCAAATAGATTATATCTTTGTTCTAGCATCACGTACAAGAGATAAACTTTATGATTAGGACCATAGCCTATTTGTGCCGACCTATAATTCATTGATAACTAAAAGGTTATTGTGGATGTAATAAAATTTTGAATCTAATCATGCAATATAGTGTAAAATGGCTATTAAAGTAATGTCCTCAAACTAAAATCTAAACAAATAAATCCACTATTCAAGGAATAACACCAACATCTCTTCAATCTACACTCAAAAGTTGCTTACATTTTAAATAACACATTAACATTATATCATAAATAATTGCAATGAAAACTCTATACTTGTAAAAAACTTATACAATAGTGGGTTTCAAATTCGGCCTTCCTAAGTTATATTTTACTCATGATGCATGCTCAAAGTATCTTGTAATAATTTGAAATATCACTTGATTCTTCACCAAATCACCCACGTTGTAAGGTGGATCATTTTGAAATTAATATATCAAAAGAGGGGTGGGTCAAATGTGAAAAACCATGTTGTTTGCCTTAGCTCTCTCCTCTTGGACTCCATACCAGGGAGGTAATCAAGTATGAACTAAAAATATAATGTGTTGAATCCCAATTATTAATTTCGCAAAAGCGCCATGTTTAAAACCCTCTAATAGTATGTTGATGACTTGGTAACACCTACACAACCTCTGCCAAAAACTATGTACCTCCACTATTGCACTACACACATACAAATAATAAATAAAACTTAAATTAAAGTAAATGTACAAATAAAATACATTCAACTTGGTATATGAAAATTGATTGCAACATTCAGCACAAAAGAATTCCTTCTGCCGTTAATCCATTCAATTATCTTCAGCAATTGAATTAATGCAATACATGGTGGCTTGACAGTATCAGTATCATCGATGAAATAGAACAATCTTAAAATGAACATATCACCGACATATCTTTACTCAAATACACCAATTGGACTCATGCATAATTAGCATTAATACAAACAACAAAAACGTCAAAAATTTAAAGAGTTCACAACACTAACTCTAAAACAAGCTAGAATTGGATATTCATTTGTTCATTTATGGATTTACAAATTTAAAGTATCTCCATTCAAACGTCAGCAGCTATGTTCAACTTTTTCACATTCACAACTCCCAGCTGCAGTAGACTCGAAAAGTAACATCTCCACAGTCATCAGGGAAGTAAAGCAAAGAAGCCCTTTCACTACTAATAAAAGTAAAAAATCATGCTAGATCACCTCGAAAAATACTTAACTAAAATCACTAACATATGTGGCAATAAACAAAATCCATCCACAGGCCAACGAGCCTGCAACAAAGAATGCACGAATATGGCGAAACAATGAGCGTACTTCAAAAAACAAACGATGAGATGCCCCCGAAAAGCAATCATCCATCGAGCATCCAACATCTGAAAACCTTCATCCACAAAACCAAGTTACAATTACATCGCAGATGCGGGTGCCAATCGTGAGCCCTAATTGAATTTGTGGGTGGTCAGGTCAGCGGCGGCCGCCGTGGCCTTCGCTGGCCAGGGGGTGATCCCTCACTCCAAGGATTTATACTGCCATCCCTATTGTTTACAGTGTGTGTTCTCTTCTTCCTCTTTGATCGGGAGCTGTGCAGGTTGAGTCCCCATGAGGAGTTGTAGATTTGGGTCGTTTCTCAGACTGGTCACGTGCCTTAAACAAGTTTTTAGGTTTGTCGCTGTACAGCAATTGCGCTTCTGTGGAGCCGACCTCGATAACGTCGTGCTTAGGGTCGTTCTGTGATGGCTAACCCTATCGACCTTCGATAAGCCTTGGTTGGAGTCATGGTGGGATAGTTCCCATTGCGTGGTTGTGTATGGATGTGGTTTTAGGGTTTTTGAGGAGTTCCTCTGCTAGGATGAGGAATAACATATATGTCTGGACTTCTAAGTGCAGCAAAGGCTGTCTGTGCCGAAACAATGTTCATTATCTCTGAGCCTGGTTTTGTAGGTTTGTGTTTCTGGATCGTCACGCGAATGAACTGGCCGCACTCTTTACCAGCGCCCAAGCGGGATGGACTCGTACTCTCTTGGAGAGTTAGATTTCTGAAGACACTTCTGGCGTTAAATAAGAATGCTAGATCGTAGCAGAGGTGGATCTTACCAACCTGAGGCTTCCTGTAACCTCGGAGTCAAATGTTCCTACTCACAGTTCGTTGACAAGTCTATACGTTCAGGATTATTCGAGTAGAGTGCGTTGATTATCAGTGCTACAGGCTTTGTGACGATGAAAAGCAGACGGGCGGACTGAAATGATGCCATGTTGATTGTCTGTCATCGACCGATTTCGGTTTCTGAAAGCTACACAAGAAGTCCGAGCGGAGCGGGGTTCTGAAACGTGCCTGTGATGATTGTAAACTTATTCTACACTCCGAAAGCGTACGTGTGGAAGCAAAATACACCTCTGACAATCTGATGCACCGTCTCATGCTCCTCAATTGTCTAGATTATCGGTTAACGTCAGTGAATAATGACGAGAACACCTTTGCTTCATCACTTTGGCTGATGTTTCATGATGTTAAACAAGCTGCGTTCTTTCTGAATTCATGTGATTTATGTAGAGGTCTGGTTATCTGGGACGCCGCCTTCGTGTGATGATATACAAACGCAAATATCTTAGGACACCTTCTTACATGGCCTAGCCGTGGATGAGAGTGAATGTTATCTGACGAACGTGGTCTTAGCACAGTATGGGAGTGTCTTTCTAAGGATGAGCATACAAATACTTTCGTTCTACTTATTTGCTTTACGCAATGAGGAAATCTACTTGGAGACCTGAACTGAAGAAAGGTATCCATGTAACTTTGTCACATGCATGTATCCTGGATCCTTACCACTCAATTTATGACACGAGTTCAGTGTTGTCTATCGCCAAATATCGCATGGTGATATACAAACCCAGATATTTTAGGACACCCTCTTAGACGGCATCGCCGTGGATGAGAGTGAATGTTATCTGACGATTTTGGTTGCAGAGGAATGGGGCATCGTTCTAATGATGATCAAACAAATACTTTCGTTCTACCTATTTGCTATATGCAATGAGGAAAAACATTTGGAGACCTGAACTGAAGAATGATGCCGTACCCCCAAACTCCACAAGAGCGAACAGTCTCATGATAGGCTGTGACAGAAGCTGTGTTTGAAACACCTGGAAGACGTCGCTTGAAATGCAGCATATTGAGCCTTCCAAAGCATTTGGCGTCCGCCACTGGAGAAGATATGAGACGCCCAAAGATGAGGCAGTACACTGGAACGGATCCCCGCAAGGCATTCGGCTAAAATTTCACTAATGAGGATTTGGATTTGTATCTGAGGCAATCGAACATAATACGTCAACTGCGGTGTGCGGTGTGCGTTGTCGTAACCGGTGACATCCTCAGAGAAGTTAACAACAGAAGAGAAGGACAAAGCTACAAATTGAAAACCATTCGATCTACACGCATCATCATGCATGCTCAGAGTAAATTCCCACAAGGGTCTTAGCCATTTGAGACCCAAAGTCGACGCTGAACAAGGCAATTCGATTACAGTGCCAAAGAGTTGGCACTGGTTTCGTGACGCAATGTTCTCCAGCCAAGCACCGACAACGCAAATATCAGAGTGGCGAAGAGTAACGGCACGTAAATGATGAGCTAAAGTGATCAACATCGTTACCCCACATTCTGCAGATATAAACATTGAGTACACCCTCGACATGTGTTGAGGATTTTAATAGCTCATACGCACTTTGAAATAAGTAAATCTGTAACACACACTTGCGATGGCAACTCTAAAACACTTATCAGTAGGGCATTGAGAATTTGGAATTTTTGGGAAATACCCTAATACCTCTGGAGTGAGCCTGGCAACAGTAAGCTTGGAGAATATTTCAATTTTACGTCGCATCGAATGTAGTCTGCACGGTTGGGGATGTGCCTCAATGATTGTGGTTCTAAACGATTGTACGACTCGTGTATACCTGTTGCTTTCACAAAGTTTAAGGGGATGCAGACGACTCGTCACTCGTTTTGACGAAAGTTTAAGGAGGTCTACTCTACTCGAGTCCAAGTTAGGCGTGGCGCGTGACCCACGAGTGAAGTAGACAGAGGCCTTCGTCACAGCGTGCGGCTCATTCTTCGAGTTGCCCGGCCGGTTAGAAGTGGATCTTACTAGGCATAAGTTCAAGCGGACAGTGAATGTCAAGTTATTTACAATTCGTTTTCAAGTTGACAACTTTTGGTACTACTGAAGTATGCCAATGCATGGACAGAGTGTAACGTATCGATAGAGTATAGCGTGCTTCTTGATGCTGGGGAAAAGCAGTACTTTTGGTTGTATGAACTTCAACAATACTTTCGTCACTCATTTTGATGGTATGCATGTTTTGACATTTATAATCAACCGTGACATTGTGTTTGTCATTATCACTGACATGTTCTTCTATGTTGATGACAAAGAATCCACTTTGACTTGTGATTACGCTCTTAGTATCTTCAAGCTCTTCCAAGATGGAATTGTCAGTAGCAATCTCCAGTGAAAGTGAGACCGAAATTGAAAAGTGGAGAATGTGAAGATAAAATATTTCTGTTCGTTCCGTTTTGTGACCAACTACGTCTTCTGTGAATGGCATCTTGTCCTGTGAAAGTTATCAAAATTGTATTGCACCTGAGCTGCTTCATCCTCAAAGTTGTTTGTGTGACGAGCATACAGATGGCCTTCGAGTTGTGCACAAGATGGAAGTTTTTGCTTGCTCCCTTTCGCTCAAAGCAGGGCATCTTGTATTATG